CCACGTTTTGGTTTGGCCGCCCCTAACTTTCTTCCAGTCATCCCCAACACCGGTTACCATTGCGCGTCGTGGTAATCGGTGTTCAGGCATACGCAGCACGTGGCCCAACCATCTCAGTCGATGAAGGTTCATAACCTCATCAACTGATTTACCATCATTTCCTAATACCCTGCGTCTAACCTCACTATTGCTTACCCGGTGATCCCAGCAGATCCCAGCAATATTTTTAAGGCACCAGTGGTCAAATACTAGTAACTTACGAATATCTTCTACTCTTAAAGGCCATGTTTCGCAGCCGTATAGTAGAACGGAACGAACTGCCGCGCAGTATACTCGTGCCTTAATTGATAGACGGATATATCGCCTAAGCCATAGGTGAGCTTTTAGAATCTGTGCTGAGATTTCGTCAGACACCAACCCATTGGGGCTGATTAGACTTCCAAGATAAACGAATTCGTCGATGCGTTCGACTACTTCACTCCCTATCCTTAGTTCAGGTGTTGACGCAAACCAGTCCTGAAGCAACAACTTGCATTTAGAGTGGGAAGAACGCATCCCAGATATGATAGCATTGTTGCTCAGTGCTACCAAAACACTGCATTTTATCAGCAACTTCATCAAACAGGGCTATGTCATCTGCGTATTCTAAGTCGATAAGTGGACCTCCTGGAAGGAGCTCAATACCCGGGAATTCAGTCGACGAGAACGTTATTTCCGTCAGTAGGTCTATGATGAAGTTAAACAAAAATGGAGAAAGTGGACAGCCTTGACGGACACCACTTGAGGTTGCAAAATCAGATGACAGTTTGCCGTAAGCTCTGACTATACTGGTACTGTTCGAGTAAAGAGCCTTCACAAGGTTTATGTAATTCTGAGGTACGCCTTTCAATGACAGACACTGCCACAGAACTTCTCGGTCAACAGAGTCAAACGCTGCTTTTAAATCAAGGAAGACCACTATTGTCGGACGCCGATAAGTATGCCTGTGTTCTAGAACCTGACGAATGGTGAATATGTGGTCGATGCAGTCACGACCACGTCTGAAACCAGCCTGATTTTTACGTGTTTGCAGCTCACGAGTCTTAGTTAGGCGTCCGAAAATTATCGAAGCTAGTATTTTAGATATTATATTCGTCAAACTAATCCCTCTGTGGTTGTCACAGGATGATTTTGACCCTTTCTTAAATATTGGGACGATAAGTGATTGTGACCAGTTAGATGGGATAACGTCTAACTCCCAGATTTTAGCTAAAATATTAGTCAACCTAATCGCTACAACTAGTCCACCATCCTTAAGGACCTCTGGGGCCAATCCGTCTGGACGAGCTGCCCTTCCTCGTTTCAGATTAGCTATAGCCTTTTGAACTTCAGCTAGAGTTGGAGGACCTACCTCAATGTTCCATTCATACTGTCTGAGAATAGAGGGTAGTTGTAGAGTAGCTGAAGGCCAACCGAACTGCTCCTTAAAATGTTCCGCCCATCGTTCTAAACGTCTGGACTGGGAGCAGATGAGAGTGTCGTCTTTTTCCGAAATAGTCTGACTTACACTTGATTTATTAATTCCAGTTTCTTTTATTAGTCTGTAGAGTTGTCTTGTATTCCCTATAGCCGCCGCCTTTTCCATCTCTTTTGCTTTCGTTGCCCACCACTGTTCACGATCCTTCCTTAGACTTTTGCTTAACCTAGATCTGATTTCTTTACGCTCTTCATCGTGTTCATAACCTGATGGGATGAGTTTACGAGAATCTATCAGTGCAATAGACCTTGACGAAATCCATTGGTTCTTTGTAACCCTGTGGTTTAAATCACTAGTAGATGTCAGTGCTGTTTCCACAGCTGCTTGTATGTCTTTCCAATCAACATCGGGGTCAGCCTCGTTTTCAGAACTACCTAAGTGTGACCTCAGTTGTTCCTGGAACCTACTTTTGGTTTTCTCATTACTCAATTCAGTTCTAATGAGTTTTTTTGTGTGGCTTTTTTGCGTCCAGTGAGGCGCAAGCAGATGCGTGCTCGTACTAGGGCATGGTCGGAGTCCAAGCAGGTACTCCAGAATGAGCGACAATCTTCTATTGGCCCTCTCCAACGATGACTGATGGCAATATGGTCTATTTGAGTCCATCGTTGGTTTGGTGCAGGGGGTCGCCATGTCAGACGATGTTTCTCTTTATGCTTAAAATTTGTGTTTGCTACAAATAAACGATTGTCTGAGCACAGTTGCAGTAGACAATCACCATTATCTGTTCGCTGTGCCGGCACACTGAAATACCCACCTAAATGTCTTTCTGTTTCGTTTAAGCTACCTACCTGGGCATTAAAGTCGCCTGCTATGAGTACTATGTCTGAACGTTTAGCTTTCTGAAGAAGTTCAGAGAGTTTTATGTAAAATTCATCTTTCACTTCATCCGAACTGCAGTCAGTGGGAGCGTAGGCATAAACGACGAAAAGGCAACGACGTGTGTCCCTATCCTTTCGAGTTCTTACGGAGCCGTCTAGCCGAACAGCGCATAGACGACTATTAACGGGGATCCACTCTAATAGCGCTTGTTCCGCCCTCATGCTTAGTGCTATGCCTACACCTGCAAGTCCACGATAACTAGCCATCGGGTCGCCAGATACACGGAGGGTGTATCTCACCGGCTCTCCGTTTTGCCGAGGTGAGGTCAAGTGAATGACCACACTAGGATCCTGTATGCGTGTTTCGGAGACACAGCATACATCAGTCGTACGAGATTCTAAGGTTTTAGCCAAGGAAGCCTGCTGACCGATTTGGCATAGTGTGCGTACGTTGAAGGCTCCAATGTATAGTTTGGAGCGAGGTTTCAGTAGACCTGGGACAGTGTTTTGCGCACTAGAATCGTTGGCTGTGGTGACACTTGAGGAGGAAACCAAAGGAGGAAGTTTAGGTTTGAAAGTCGATGTAGGAGGGATAATAGGAATTGAAGAGGTAGGTTGATTATGAATACAGTGATCTTGAGGGCTGTTAGAGGTATGAGGGCGGTTATCACTTCCCGGTTGCCCACACCGTGGAAGGGTTCTGCTGGAGGTACCTGAAAAGGAAATTGGATTAGAGGTGGTCATAATGACCTGAGAGCGTGACCGCAGTGCCCAAGGGACAGCTGCTTGAGGTCGGTCACACACGACCTTTTTATGAGTAATTTTTGTGTTAGCTCCGTAATTGTTGAGACCTTACCGCCGGAGACGGATATCCGTGGGATAAGGCGAGGTGTGCATTTTTAGGGTCGACCTTTTCTAACCCCACCCCTCCTTTTGGGAAGGCAGCATCGCTGTTATGCTGGTTGTCTGAGGGAAACACTTTACTGCTGTCACACCTCTGTACAGTCAGCAGTACGACTTCGCCTTCGGACCTTAGTTTTGTTGCTTTTAGTCTTACCGCTCTTCAACCGACCTGTCTGGCATGGTAGGACCTTGAGGAACGATTGTTCTAGCCAGTATAGCTCGATTGGTTCATCATGATAGGCAAGCCCGACCACCATGTCAAGGCAGCAACAACGGTCTGGGAACAGCTCTGATGGATGTAAGTAATGGTGGTGTGGATCTGTTGTCTGGAGAAAGACTTCTCTACCTTGAGTATGCGGATGATATTGTCTTACTGTGCGATAATGCTCAAGCCATGCAATCCGCACTTAATCAGTTGGCAATCAAAGTCCGTAGGTATGGTATGTGCTTTGCACCTTCGAAGTGCAAAGTACTTTTACAAGACTAGCAAGACCTTAATCCAGCACTCACCCTGGGTAGTAAGCAGATAGAGGTAGTTGAGAAGTTCTTGTATCTGGGTAGCTGCATAAGTGCTAGTGGTGTCGTGAGTGATGAGATCAATGCACGTATAGTGAAAGCCAGAGTGGCTTATGCCAATCTGGGCCATCTTTGGCGCCTTCGTGATGTTAGTCTGGTTGTAAAAGGTTGGATCTACAACGCGTCGGTGAAAGCAGTTTTGCTCTATGCTTGTGAAACCTGGCCTCTCCGAGTTGAGGATGTTAGACGACTCTCTGTGTTTGATCATCGTTGTCTCCGAAGGATTGCTGGCATCCAGTGGCAACACCATGTTAGTGTTGCAGAGGTTCGGCATCGTGTGTTCGGGCACAGAGACGATAATGAAATTGGTATCACCTTCTTGAAACACCGACTTCGGTGGCTTGGACATGTTCTACGAATGTCGTCCCAGAGAATTCCTCGTCGTGCATTATTTGCCGACTCTGGGACTGGTTGGAAAAAGCGGAGAGGTGGTCAGTATATGACATGGTATCGTGGTATGAAAGAAAGCTGCAAACGGCTAGCTTCTGTTGGTCCTTCACAACTCCCTTATTGGGGTCCGAGAGACGGTGTAACGCAGTGGCTAGAGACGTTATCAGATATGGCTCAGAATAGAAGCCAGTGGTAATCCTGCTGTAACCTTCTTTTACTTTCTTCATAAAAAGTGGTTGTATCTTCCTTAACTGAAAGATTTCCTCTGATTGTACGTTTTCGTTTCCCCCATCATTGTTCTTTTTTATTAATAATTCCCTACGTTCCTTACCTTTTTTCCCTTCTCTTTAAATTCTCATTATTTTATGTGGCGCATATATATTTGGTGCCCCTTCTGTACCAATATTTATGTGTTCAAATAAATAAATAATGAATAAATAATTCTAAACTTCCATGTTTTTAAGGCTTTTAGTTATGGTTGAAAGCATTCCAGGAACTCCAAGAAGTGTACATAATGCACCTAAAGTTCCTACTAGTGGTTACCCAATATCACAGACTAAAGATTGCAAAAAGTGCGCCTATCAGAATTTAGTAACAGTTGAGTCTACACAATCCTATTGGAAATCCTTTCACGAAGCAGAAGTTGCTTCTGGTGCAGTCGAGAAAGATTATAAGGTAAATTTTTGGGCTTATGTATAGCTGGAATATTGGTGAATGAAGTAATTTAATTTTAAAGTTTTGAGTACAATTTTAGAATTTTTAAGTCTTGACCCATTATTTTGTCAAATATTTTTAAGTTTAAATTGGCTGCATATCTAGTAACCACCTATTTCTAGAACTAGAGGAATATATAATCCAGTCACTGGTTGTTTTCTCTCATTGACAGTCAAATAGTTCTTACGAAAAGTTTTCTGAGTTGTTATTTCAAATTTGTTTAGTGAGATAGATAGTTACCTTGAAGTGATCTTAACTATGAAGTATTCTGTTCAGAAGATAGCTTCATGTTACATAAAATACGATTCAAGGAAAATCATATGGTTGTAGGTCTGAATTTATATTTTAATCAACCAATCAAACGACTGATGGTGCTGTCTATCTTTCTTGGGATTCATATATAAGAGTAGTATTTCTTATTTATTCTGTTTCAAAAGATTATCAAATAGTTCGCACTGTTACTATACATTTAACTAGAATTTCACCAGTTAAGTCATTTGAGTTGCTTTCCATGTGTTGATTAAACTAACATGGGTAAAAAGATGTTTAAACATTGTACAAATAGGGTTTTCGTTTTTCAACAGGTTGACGCCAACCTTTTAGCAATGGAACAAAATAAAGAAACACTTTTGACCGAAATCAGGAGCCGAATAAGTAAGTTATTCTAGAATTATTTAATAAAATACAGTTATTTTTTTCATGTCTCATTTCTTTTATTTAGTATATATTTAAATATATTCCACCTCATAATCAAGCTCAAAGATATAAAAACAAAAATCAAATGTCTTTTCGAACAGTAAAACAGCATGTACGATGATAGACACCCCGCTCATTCCTTCACAAGAATAGTAATTGGGTTTGGATATTTTTTAGTATATCTAAATTTTCTGAATAAACATTGAGTTTTGGCACCTTTGAGAACAAAGTTGCCTAGAAAATAAGTTGATCTAACCCTCTATGGTTTGACTACTATTATGGTGTTAACTTGTAAGATCACGTAGTGGATTACTTATTTGGGTTTTATTTTCTACACAATGGGTAAGAATGAATGACATTAATCATCTCTAGAAATGTGTCTTCTAAGGTGAAGTATTCCGCATTCCACTGACAAGGAAAACGTTTAATATCGTAAAGTTTCCGCATTCATTGGTCTTATGTATCTACTGGTGACAGGCGAAAGACCAAGGTCACCGTTTTCTTAGTTTTAGTTAAGTGCTTATATGTCGATCGATAATAGGTTGAAATTAATGTCCATGAAAGTCGTTTATTTCCATTGCGTTCATTTATTACTTTGAGCTACTGTTACTAATTCTAGAAATATCACTTTGAACATGGTTCAAACCTTGATTAAAAGCTGAGTGTTGAAATTACCAACCCGCAACTCTGGGACTCATGGAGTGATTTATGAACATCTGGAATTCTACTTAGAAAATATGGATTTCATCAATGGCTGTTCATCAAATGACTGTCATTCACATCAATGTCTGTTTGTGATTACTGGTTTATTTAGTTCAAGTTAATTGTCTGTGAGTACAGTTTCGAAGGAGGACTTGTGCTGTTCCGACTGTATACAAAATTCTATTAATAATACGTACAATTGTATAAAAAATATGACTTGAAATTGGATCTCTAAAGTACATGATACATAATAGTTTGGTTCACGATTATTTCTACTCTGCTTGTTACTTTTATTATACTTTTATTTTTCACATTTATCCATACTATTCGTCTATAATTGTATATTTTCGTTTTCTGCATGTATTATATGTTACAACTATAAAAGCGAAAATCCACTAGTTAGTCTGTGATTTTGATCCTCATTACTTTTGACTAACTGAAAAGTAACTTGAACTAATTCGGTTGAATCTCTCATTCATAAATAAGTAAATGGGTAGGAATTTCGTTTTATTTAATCTATTCAATTTATCAGTCCGGTCACTCATTACAGCCACTTTAACTAAACGAGTAGGTCGTCAAACGAGATATTGATGGTCGTACCCTAAGTATGATCTCACACTTTTCGCTCTTTATTGTGCCTTTAGTGTACTCCTTTTTGGTTGATTATTCATAATTGATCTTAGTCGTCTGAAAGGATATCTAGAATCTATAAAGTTCTTATCTTTGGTAGGTAGTTTTTGGTTTCTGTCTGTTTGGTTGAAAACTTCATTCATCCTGTTTTGCTTCGATAGATGAAATGAATTCACGCACATTATATTTACGTAAATTACCACGAAATACAAGTCTTTCTCAGCTGAAAGCATTGTGTCGTAATTCAGCAAATGGTCGGTTGCTAAATCCGTCTCGTCACTTAAAACATAGGTAATTCTTTTCATTAAAATACCACGCTACATTTTTGTATCTTTATGTTTCTTTTGATTTTTTCACATACTTTATCTCATGGTAGTTTTATTAATTAACCGAATAAACCCGGTGTCATTGGAAGTTGCTACATCACGTTAGCACAGTGAGGTAAAATTACTTACTTACGCCTGTTACTCCCAATGGAGCATAGGCCGCCGACCAGCATTCTCCAACCCACTCTGTCCTGGGCCTTCTTTTCTAGTTCCATCCAATTCTTGTTCATTTTTCTCATATCTATCTCCATTTCTCGGCGTAATGTATTCTTTGGTCTTCCTCTCCTCCTTCGGCCTTGAGGATTCCATATGAGGGCTTGTCTTGTGACGCAGTTCGGTGCTTTCCTCAATGTGTGTCCCATCCACTTCCAGCGCTTCTTCCTGATTTCTTCCTCCACTGGGATCTGATTTGTTCTCTCCCACAGTAGGTTGTTGCTTATAGTGTCCGGCCAGCGGATCTGAAGTATTTTGCGTAGACAACTGGTGATAGACACCTGTATCTTTTGGACGATGGATTTCGTAGTTTTCCAGGTTTCCGCTCCATACAGTAGAACTGTCTTCACATTTGTATTGAAAATTCTGACTTTGGTGTTGGTTGCTAATTGTTTTGAGTTCCAGATATTCTTCAGTTGTAAATATGCTGCTCTTGCTTTGCCAATCCGTGCCTTCACATCTGCATCAGATCCACCGTGTTCATCGATGATACTGCCCAAATATGTAAAGGTTTTTACATCTTCCAAAGCTTCTCCGTCAATTGTGATTGGATTGGTGCATGCTGTGTTGTATCGGAGAATCTTGCTTTTCCCTTTGTGTATATTGAGACCTATTGCTGCTGAGGCTGCAGCTACACTGGTTGTCTTCTCCTGCATTTGTTGTTGCGTATGCGATAGAAGAGCCAGATCATCTGCGAAGTCTAGATCATCCAATTGCATCCTAGCTATCCACTGTATCCCGTGCTTCCCTTCAGATGTTGATGTCTTCATGATCCAGTCGATTACCAGGAGAAAGAGAAAGGGTGAGAGTAAGCAACCTTGCCTGATACCGGTCTTTACTTCGAACGACTTTGTCAACTGTCCTCCATGAACGATTTTGCAGTTTAATCCATCATAGGAATTCTGTATGATATTGACTATCTTCTGAGGCACGCCGTAGTGTCGAAGAAGCTTCCATAGGGTTGTTCTGTCCATGCTATCAAATGCTTTTTCGTAGTCAATGAAGTTGATATAGAGTGATGAATTCCATTCAATTGATTGTTCCACAATGATCCGTAGATTTGCGATTTGGTCTGTGCACGATCTATCCTTACGGAATCCTGCCTGGTGGTCTCGAAGTCCTTCATCCTGGCAGCCTTTTCCGCCGTCATTGCTAAATCTTCCACATATTTACGTTTGTCAGTTCTGATGCTCCTCTTCACTTGCTTGTTTACTTCTGTGTATTCAGCCTGTGCCTTGGCTTTTTCTGCTCTTGTTCGACTGGTATTGATTGCTGCTTTCTTGTTCCTCCTTTCTTGAATCTTATCCAGTGTATCGACCGTGATCCAATCCTTGTGATGGTGCTTCTTTTGGCCCAGAACCTCATGACATGTTGAAGTGATTGCCTCTTTTATCTCTTTCCAGTTGCTCTCCATAGTAGTTTCTTCTCCATTGAGTAGATCATGAAAGGCTTGGAACTTATTGCTGAGGGTTATCTTGAATTCATTGAGTTTGTCATCATCCCGAGGAAGAGCCATATTAAATTTTTGTGATATTGTCCTCCCCGTTGTCCAGTGCCTCTTGAGTTTCAATTTCATCTTGGCGACCAGCAAGTGATGATCTGATGCTATATCAGCTCCTCTCTTTGTTCTCACGTCCTCCATCGTCCTCCTGAACTTTTTGTTGATGCAGATATGGTCGATTTGGTTCTGTGTGGTGTGATCCGGTGAAGTCCATGTGGTTTTGTGTATGCGTTTATGTGGGAATATAGTGCCGCCTATGACCAGTTTATTGAAGGCACATAGATTTGCAAATCTCTCACCATTTTCGTTCCTCTCTCCCAGTCCGTGTCGTCCCATGATCTCTTCATATCCGGTGTTGTCAATTTCAACCTTGGCATTTAGGTCTCCCATCAGAATAGTCAGGTCCTTTGTTGGGCACTTCTCGACGATTGACTGCAGCCTATTGTAGAATTGATCTTTAGCGTCTTCATTGTAGTCGTTGGTATGCGCGTAGCATTGGATGACATTCATTGTAATCCCCGTTTTCTTTGTTTTGAAGGAGGCTTTGATGATCCTTGGTCCATGAGATTCCCATCCTATAAGTGCATTTTGTGCTTGTTTGGACAGCACCAATGCAACTCCTTGTGTAGTTGGGGCATTTTCTTGTTCATGTCCCGAGTATAACAGCAGCTCCCCTGAAGCTATTCGTTGTTGTCCAACTTGCGTCCAATGTGTTTCACTGATCCAAAGCACCTCTAAATTGTATCTTCTCATTTCTGCAGCAATTTGTAAAACTCTCCCAGTCTCCGACATTGTGCGAGCATTCCATGTACCTAAATAAATGGTTGCTCTGGTTGTCAGAAGGGGCATCGGCCTCGTGACTTCCGAAGAAACTCGGCTTTCATCATGAGGCGTCATAATTCTTCTAAACGAAGACCTCCTGACTCCCAGGGCAGAGTTTAAATGGTTTGAATAATTTTTTCTGGTTAGCGTTTTTTTAGCAAGTTAGTTTTCTACGGGATGGGGTCGCTAACCCCATGCCCAACCCTCCTTTTCTATCCGGGTTTGGGACCGGCAGTAGCCCCCGGAAAGGGACTCCAGGCGGAGTAGTAACACCATCAGTAGTAGTGGAAAAAATTAAATATAAGAAAAGAAAAAATGGTACAGGCGATTTCGAGATCCAAATTCTGAAAAAGTAAGAATGAATCCACCTGCGAAATTGTTAAGAAGTGCCCAGAGTTGATATGATGTTCTTGTATTTATTTGTTGATTGTTTTGTATCTTCCTCTTAAGAGTCTACTGGGTTATGTTCTGGCATGCACGCGTTCAAAATAGATTTGTTTCAGAATAAAACTCGAAATGGGTGCACACTTTATATCGACTAGTCTTAGCCATCTAAGTTGTAAATTTGTGATGGCATACTGATATGCTAACTTTTTATTGCATCTTCAAATCGACGATCGCATATTAACTTTTTACTGTCGGTTTTAATAAGTTAATTAGAGCTTACTTAATGTTTTAGTGTAGTTCTGCTAGTTCTCTCTGACGTCAGGAGATATTTCACTCATCCATTAGTCACTTTCAACCATACTTTTTACTGTTTTAGTGGATCAGTCTTTATGGTGATTGGTCATTCGCTGATACGTATGGTTTTGACTTTAAGAGTGTAAATCGGCTTTATTGATGGATCATCAGTTGTATTTCAGTCCTTATGCAATAGTTTTCGATTGATCTTTCTGAAAGGTCACCAACAATCCTCAAAAACTTGTATACTTAATTTACCTCGTAAAGATTTTTATCCTAGAGGCTAAATCTAATGAATTAATGTCGTACAAAGTTGTGTAAATTCTGTTAGCCAATACTGTAATCTAATCATTGACTTTTTGATTTGGTAGATTAGCACTTGTGGAGTATAATTCACGTGAAGCAGCATTGTCTAGTCTTAAGTCATTGCATGACAAATCCTTTGGAGATATTCCTATTACTGTGGAGTTATGTTCTGAGCGCTGTAAATCTCCGTCTAATAGTTGGAGGCAACCACAATCATATGAATTGAATGAATTTAATTTGAATAAACTGTATGTGGCAGGTATCAATCGTCGATCAACTGAACAGGAAATTCGGGACCTATTTCCTAACGCTGAGTCTTTTGACTTCATTGTACATGAACGTGCTTTGTGGTTAGTAACCATTATTTGATAGTGTTATTGTTTAGTACATAAAATATTAATTTGCTGTTATTCATAGCATCACAATGTTCATCTAATGACAAAAATTAGTAGCCGTTTAAATAAATTTAGCAGCTCTTGTTTATACCGAATTAACGTTCTCTAGTTTTTGTAGATGTACATACTTTATGCAACATACTTTGGTTGTGACTTGTAGTTTCGAACCTTATTTGGAAAAATTTCAAATTCTGGTTTACAGGTTTAAAATTGGTATAATTCTAAGAAATCACTTTGCATTTAAGTTATGAAAATACCAATATGGGGAAAAACGATACTCACTCATAATCCGTAATTTGATGAAAACGGGGAAACTATTTTACTTCTACACAGTATACTAAACAAAACCACTTAATTATAAATCAAATGTTCTCTCTGACTGGTCCAAAAATTCCAATTATGACCTAGTTTTACTGTAGATCTAAGGTTTAAAAGCTGAAGATTGATCGAATCTGCTTTTATCCAAAGAGAAATTGCGTACTCATTTTCTTGAAATGTTTCAAATGTCCAATATATCTTTAGTTAACTTGAAAATGATCTAAAGTGAAGTATGGAATTTTTATTTTGTTGTTTTCATAACCGAGCTTTGTCACAATGTGATTTGCAAGATAAGATGGAGGTAAGTCGAACTCAGTAGCCAGACATACATTCGCTTCCTTATATTGTGATTAGCGATCTATTCATCTCATTAGTGATGCAGTTTTTCATTTGAAGTCAGTTGACTATTATTTATACACCTACAACAGCAGTTTCATAATAGCTGTTTTTTGTCATTTTTTTTCGAAAGGCATTGTCGTGTTATATTTACCAATCAAAAAGACGCTCTTGAAGCATTCAATACACGACATGGAGTTGTCCTCCATGATACGCCAATTAACTTAAACTTTGACCTAAGGAGCCGTAAATCTTCACTTGTAAGCAAACATTTTTCACAATAATTCTTCTATTGGTGATCAGTTTTATTTTCTACTTGGTGAGTAATCAATACATCATTACATGCAAATGTCGAAAAGTTTTAAGTCAGACCAGTGAGAGAATGACGTTGAGTTTTGTATATCTAGTTGTTCGACATACTACTAAAGTACTACCACTACTTCTATAACGTTCGAATTATTCAAATTGCTAATATTTTAAAGCTGTATGTAGTAGTTTATAATAGGTAGCGTGTAGTGCAGAATTTTCCTTTTTAGGTCGATCAGTAGCCTAACAAAAGTATTGATTTTACTTTGTAGAATTATAGTAGTAGCTTCATAACATACTAGATAATTTTCAAAGTTGTAAAAAGTTCACTACAAACTTGATGATATTTTTTCAAATCGAAATGTCTTTGTGATTAATATGTTCAATTGTAAGTACTCAGATAAAAGGGAATCAAAGGAGTAATAGTCTTGGTGTTTTTGAGTTAAGTATGGATCACGTATGTTATCTTATGAATTTCGTATTATTTTATGTACCAACTTATAGATAAGCCGTTTCAGCTCGTATAAGTGTGTATTACTTTTACACTTTGTGCTTGTAATTAGCTCTGTGACTATTAATTGACTCAATGTAAATTTTTTATCTGTTATAGTCGACATTTCGTTCACTTTACCTTGTGAACCTCATTTTTTCATGTCTTAGTCAGTTCGTGCATCAATCATTCCAACAATTACTGATCCAAAGGTTCTGTCAAACAAAAAGCCGAAACTGAAAAGCAGAAAAAGTAGTTCCCATTTAAATCAGCAACAAAGTCTGGGTAATAAGTCTGAATCATCAAGTGATCCTGTTAAGAATTCAAACCTTGAAGCAAATAAAAGAAAAAGAAAAAAATACAAAAATGAGAGTGCCTCCAGTAATTCCGTTCAGTTTTCGTTGGCTACTAACCATGGACATCAAGTTTCTAAACCAGTACCGAAAAAGCGAAAGTTGGTATAGTACGGGAACAACTTGTGCGTTTGTTAACTTTAACCTGGATTTTAATAAATAAAATAAATGTTTCAACTACATCGAGATTTGTTCTTGACTGAAGTCGTTTAGATCAAATCCGTTTCCTTATTCTTATTCATTGAATACCTCCAAACCTTATTTACTTCTTGGGGAGGGAGCTTCAAAAGAGCGCTTTTGGAGATAAGATTTGTGTGAAGTAAGGTCATGGTTGTCTTTTGGGCAGATATTTTCCTGCTCGTTTTCTCTCCTTGAAATATCACATTTATCATTCTTTGACTCCAAAGACAAATTGATCAAATAGTATAACTACGCCTGTTAGACTTATTTCATCGATATCATGCAGAGATGAGTAGCTTTTCTGTTATGATAAGTAATCACACAGAACTAACTATTAATAAACTTTATTTAAGAACAGTAAAACGGAGCTCTTGATCTTTGTTTAAACTTGATATCCATAGACCAAATTCTATCTAAAGTTCCTATTCAGTTCCGTCATTCAGTGACCCCGACTGGGATACAGTTTGGGCTTTTGATGTGTTGCTTACCAGTATTTTCACTTTGTCCATTACCTTTTAGCCTTTACTAAAGTGTCAAATGTTTTACAGAACTTGTAGGAGCGTGTTCATGCTCTTACATTTGGTGGTATATCTTTTGAGAGTGGTCAGATTCATATGTCTAAGTATTTGGGTACCACACCGTCAATCTGTTTGGAAAGCTAAAACCTTATATTCAAATGTGGACCAACTATAGTGCTTTCGCAACCTCAGCCAGGAACCAATCAGTTGTGGCTGAGAACATTTGAAGGATGGATTCTGAGACAAGAATATTTGTTGGATGTGTCTAGTTTCTGGCGTTCATTTAATACTAGTGTTTAAGTGTCATCATCATGTAAGTAATTAGGGAGAGCGAATGGGTGCTTGAGTGTGTTGATATCATACTAAATAACTGACATTAGTGAATTAGACACCATTCAATTTTATATCGGCAATTATCATATAACTCTGCTGACATTCAGGTTGACTACAAGAAGGTAAATTGACAGTTCGGAGGCGTAGAAGAAGCAGGTTGGGTTGGTTTCTGTCAGTTCTCCATGACTTATTAGGGTTCAAGAAATTGTCGTCGAGTGGTTGTAAGTGATGTGTAATAGTTTAGAATCAAAGCCAGTGGTGGTTTTGTAATATTTTTCTTAGGTCTTTTACTTGAAGAGTAAAATAAATAACTGAAGTATTTCAGATTAACCAGCCTACCATCCCTCGTACTGACTATATCAAAATTCGGATCTGATCACGTTAAAGTCTATAAATTATTCTAATAAGGAAGCACTGTATGACATCATTATTAGCGTGTTAGAGATATATGCGGAAAGGAAGAAAAATCTAGTGTCATACATTTCGGATTTCATCTACTTCATTTCAGTTTCATGTATCGTTTCTGTAACTTATTTTGCAGGTACAGGTTTATACATTCGGTCTTGAACTACGTTGTTTGTATGAGTACTGGTGATACCTTATGACAGCCAAAAGTGAAGTAGGTGAATTGGGTTCGAACATGTTGCCTAGTCGTTAAAAACCCAGTGCTTTATTCATCAAACCATGCTTTTCACAAAAATTATCAAATGTACTCGTGGTCATTGAGTACACTTTGTCCAAAGTCATTAACATTACAGACCATTAAATAAAAATCATTGAGATAGTGACAATCAACTTGTTTTGCTAAACATAGGGGAAGCATGACTTGGTTGAAAGCTCATAATATCAAGAGTTAGTATGTAAAGTTATTATTAGAGTATATTTCTTGTCGCGAGAGGGTTGTGCAATGATTTTAGGAAAAATTTTAAGCCTACAGATTTATTATTTAAACATCTAAGTCAAATATGCGCTCCAATAGCACTGACGTACGTGAGAGGCTTTATGTCAGGTGAATAGATTTGGGGCGATAGAGAACATGAAATATCTCATCGGTACTTCGCTTGTCTGCTACCACAGTTTCCCTCTGAGTCTGTAAATTGTTGAATTTAGGCATAGACGTTTCCGGTTAAATGATAGTTGATGGAAATCTGCTTGACAAGACATAGATACTGTATTAATATTAATAGAATATCATGGGCTGTGTGGTAGGAGGCACTTGGTAATGGTTACTTTAGATACTGTAGATTTGAAACCACAAGAATTTTTAAATACTGTGCTCATGTGTTTCTAAAAATGCCTAAAAGTATAACCAAGGTATTCGAATCATGATTATGTAGTTGTGTTTGTAAAGTCTACTCTGGATCTTAGTGTGATTCCAGGTCTATGTATTTTTTTAGAGCCATGTTCTAGATTGTAGTGTAAACCACACAGATTCGGTTGGATGATTTCACTCTTAAAAGTAGGTTTATCCCTGATTTCGCTACTGTTCACGATTTGATACTTCCTTGACTTAATATTCTCAAGTGGAGAAATATTCAAGAGCTATATAATTATTTCATCTTTTATTCATAACTACTGTTGTGTTTCGTTCATGAGTTTAGATGGTCACTATCTTTTAATTTTTACGTAAATGTTGGTGGGTCAAAATCAAATATGTTGATGTTATCTCGAAAGAAAATGATAGTCTCGCGACTAAATCATGCAACTTAGAGAACGAAATACCCCGAAAATTGTCCTCTTGAGCTAAAAATATTCATCATTTCAATACTCTATCTGTACATTTATTGTGAAACAATTAACGTGTCTTCAAAATTTGGATTTTTCTTCTTGTTCAGCTTAATATTCTGGTTAGTTAAAGTCTGATGTTGATTATTAAATAATCAAATGATTTTATTCACACTTAGAGGTAATGTTTTATCTAATTAAGCACTTCAAACAAGAGAATAGGTCTTATGTGTTGCAGTCTAGGATAACTTTGTTTGATTCCCGGAAATTCGTGATATAATTTATAGCTCTATTTGAATACCGAACAATGCATCAATAAATGTGCAATTCTACAAGATCGGTTTTCATAAAGGAAAAACCTGAAGGGAAATCATTTCAGCTGTTTTTACTTGATCAACATGATTAGTAAGTTTTCTATTAACACGATACTTCATTAATGTGTTCATAATAGACTTTCAACCTTGTTTTCTGAAGTAGCTAACAATATCTGTCCAAAATTAGTTTTACGATGAGTAAAAGGACTCTAGTTAATATGCTTAGTATTAGATATATATACATTTGTTATTGTCGACAAAATTTATTTTACTATGTCAGTTAGCGTACAGTGGTTTCATCATTTAAAATCATGATGACTTAAACGCTGAATTATTTCATGCTGTTATTTTCTACACATAAATAAACATTACTTTTATTTTTAAATTAGTTCTACACTAAATGATGTTACTTGTGAACAAAGAAAACAAAATGTTCTAAACAAAGGTTTAATTCAGTTTTTATGTAAATTTTCCTTATCTCCTTTTCTGCTTGACGTGGTATGATCAATTTCTTTTAAAAAAGCTTTCGGTTATATGATTGAGAAAGACTAATTTACTGAACATTAAAGCTATTTACAAAAATGAAACAAAACATTGTTCCTAATAAACAAATCTAAAATTAGAGAAATTTTGGCAAAAAAAAACCTCATTCTTAAATATTAATCTCATTGATAGACATAGCAGTAAAGATTTAAGTTGATGTAAGGATTAAATTTAAATCAGCAATAATCTGAGTACCGTTGTAAAACTGAAGAATTTGATTAATAATGGCTAAATGCTGATGACGTATTACTTTATTTACACCATATTTTGTTTAACTGATCAGTGAATATTAAATACTTAATTTCACCGACTAAACAGCCAAAGTATTAGCTCTGTTTCGAGTAGACCGAAATGGCCCCCAAATGCCGTGGTACGGCCGAGAGTGGGTAGAGTCCGCTCTTTCTCTCACATGGCCACGCGTATATAGCCTCTGCCAGGGAAGTCCTACCCACTGGCTTCTCGTGGCGGGGGTGTTGTTTACGAAAATGAGAGGACGAAAAGCGAACGTCCGGCGCTTTAACCGGATCCCAAATCAATGGTGCACATGGGCTCTAGTATCCTGAAGGAACAAATGGCGTATGAACCAATTTCTTGGTCACTGGCTTCCATGGGACTGCATCTCCTCACGATGCTCCACTGCCTTGTGGGTTAGACCTTTAGGTCGAAGGCTCGGGGTGTGGCCCCCTAAGAAAACCACCTGCTTCGGTTTGGACACCCGGGCAGTATCATAACCCCCACACATATCAAATGAGATCTGTGTGGCGCATATATATTTGGTGCCTCCTTGTACCAATATCTATGTGTTAAAATAAATAATAAATAAATAAGACCGAAATGGGACAAGATTCTAGGTTGGTTACAGTGTCTTTCGATGCAGGGGTAGTTTATTTATTTATTTGAACACATAAATATTGGTACAGGGGGGCAACAAATATATATGCGCCACACAAAACAATGATAATTTGAAGAGAAGGAGAAAAAAATATACATAAAAAAAGGTAATGAACGTGAGGAATTATAAAAAAAAGAGGGAGAGAACAATGATGGGGAAAACGAAAACGTACAATCAGAGGAAATCTTTCAGTTAAGGAAGATACAACCACTTTTTATGAAGAAAGTAAAAGAAGGTTACAGCAGGATTACCACTGGCTTCTATTCTGAGCCATATCTGATAACGTCTCTAGCCACTGCGTTACACCGTCTCTCGGACCCCAATAAGGGAGTTGTGAAGGACCAACAGAAGCTAGCCGTTTGCAGCTTTCTTTCATACCACGATACCATGTCATATACTGACCACCTCTCCGCTTTTTCCAACCAGTCCCAGAGTCGGCAAATAATGCACGACGAGGAATTCTCTGGGACGACATTCGTAGAACATGTCCAAGCCACCGAAGTCGGTGTTTCAAGAAGGTGATACCAATTTCATTATCGTCTCTGTGCCCGAACACACGATGCCGAACCTCTGCAACACTAACATGGTGTTGCCACTGGATGCCAGCAATCCTTCGGAGACAACGATGATCAAACACAGAGAGTCGTCTAACATCCTCAACTCGGAGAGGCCAGG